ATTTTGTTGTAATAAAGATTAATAGAATTTTAACAATGTGTCATATTGCCATAAAATGAAGCGGTCACTATTAAGAACTAGCTAGTTTCATTCCAAATATTGGTTTGTAGTTATTAATAAACTTACATTTCTACGGTGAGAGCTCAACGCGCTGCAATTTCAGAAAACACATGCAAATAGAAGAAGCACTAGCATATTAAGAAAACATCTGCATCAGTTTGACAGCACATGTGCTGCAAATACTCGCAACACAATCAAATACAGAAACACGCTGCAAATGCTCACAACACAAACAAATACAGAAACGCAAGTACAGACCACAACGGGAGGACCCCAACAATGCCAATTACCCCCAAAAAAAAGGAAAATAACCATCTTTTTTTTTTGTAATGATTACCATTTGTATAACCACAGTTGTACAAATACCATGGTTAAACTCTGGTTAGTGTAGTAAATCCATGGTTAATTTGTTGTTACCATGGTTTAACTATAGTAACCATTTTTTGTTTTTATTTATTTATTACAGTAATTGTGTATTTTGTCAGCTTATTTAGGCTAATAATAAAAAAAAAAAAAGGCAGCAAAGAAATCGTATGATCAGGATGTTAAAATAAACAAAAATCTCACATTTCAGAGCAAACATTGTTATAGTCCCAGCCATGTTCGTCACTTTGCGGTTCCCTTAAACATTTCCGATGTGGTCTGTGCCTATTTGCAGCACGTTTCTTTATTTGGTTGTGTTGTGAGCATTTGCAGCGCATTTCTGTTTTTTAGCGCATTTCTTTATTTGGTTGTGTTGAGAGCATTTGCAGCGCATTTCTGTTTTTTAGCGCATTTCTTTATTTGGTTGTGTTGAGAGCATTTGCAGCGCATTTCTGTTTTTTAGCGCATTTCTTTATTTGGTTGTGTTGAGAGCATTTGCAGCGCATTTCTGTTTTTTAGCGCATTTCTTTATTTGGTTGTGTTGAGAGCATTTGCAGCGCATTTCTGTTTTTTAGCGCATTTCTTTATTTGGTTGTGTTGAGAGCATTTGCAGCGCATTTCTGTTTTTTAGCGCATTTCTTTATTTGGTTGTGTTGAGAGCATTTGCAGCGCATTTCTGTTTTTTAGCGCATTTCTTTATTTGGTTGTGTTGAGAGCATTTGCAGCGCATTTCTGTTTTTTAGCGCATTTCTTTATTTGGTTGTGTTGAGAGCATTTGCAGCGCATTTCTGTTTTTTAGCGCATTTCTTTATTTGGTTGTGTTGAGAGCATTTGCAGCGCATTTCTGTTTTTTAGCGCATTTCTTTATTTGGTTGTGTTGAGAGCATTTGCAGCGCATTTCTGTTTTTTAGCGCATTTCTTTATTTGGTTGTGTTGAGAGCATTTGCAGCGCATTTCTGTTTTTTAGCGCATTTCTTTATTTGGTTGTGTTGAGAGCATTTGCAGCGCATTTCTGTTTTTTAGCGCATTTCTTTATTTGGTTGTGTTGAGAGCATTTGCAGCGCATTTCTGTTTTTTAGCGCATTTCTTTATTTGGTTGTGTTGAGAGCATTTGCAGCGCATTTCTGTTTTTTAGCGCATTTCTTTATTTGGTTGTGTTGAGAGCATTTGCAGCGCATTTCTGTTTTTTAGCGCATTTCTTTATTTGGTTGTGTTGAGAGCATTTGCAGCGCATTTCTGTTTTTTAGCGCATTTCTTTATTTGGTTGTGTTGAGAGCATTTGCAGCGCATTTCTGTTTTTTAGCGCATTTCTTTATTTGGTTGTGTTGAGAGCATTTGCAGCGCATTTCTGTTTTTTAGCGCATTTCTTTATTTGGTTGTGTTGAGAGCATTTGCAGCGCATTTCTGTTTTTTAGCGCATTTCTTTATTTGGTTGTGTTGAGAGCATTTGCAGCGCATTTCTGTTTTTTAGCGCATTTCTTTATTTGGTTGTGTTGAGAGCATTTGCAGCGCATTTCTGTTTTTTAGCGCATTTCTTTATTTGGTTGTGTTGAGAGCATTTGCAGCGCATTTCTGTTTTTTAGCGCATTTCTTTATTTGGTTGTGTTGAGAGCATTTGCAGCGCATTTCTGTTTTTTAGCGCATTTCTTTATTTGGTTGTGTTGAGAGCATTTGCAGCGCATTTCTGTTTTTTAGCGCATTTCTTTATTTGGTTGTGTTGAGAGCATTTGCAGCGCATTTCTGTTTTTTAGCGCATTTCTTTATTTGGTTGTGTTGAGAGCATTTGCAGCGCATTTCTGTTTTTTAGCGCATTTCTTTATTTGGTTGTGTTGAGAGCATTTGCAGCGCATTTCTGTTTTTTAGCGCATTTCTTTATTTGGTTGTGTTGAGAGCATTTGCAGCGCATTTCTGTTTTTTAGCGCATTTCTTTATTTGGTTGTGTTGAGAGCATTTGCAGCGCATTTCTGTTTTTTAGCGCATTTCTTTATTTGGTTGTGTTGAGAGCATTTGCAGCGCATTTCTGTTTTTTAGCGCATTTCTTTATTTGGTTGTGTTGAGAGCATTTGCAGCGCATTTCTGTTTTTTAGCGCATTTCTTTATTTGGTTGTGTTGAGAGCATTTGCAGCGCATTTCTGTTTTTTAGCGCATTTCTTTATTTGGTTGTGTTGAGAGCATTTGCAGCGCATTTCTGTTTTTTAGCGCATTTCTTTATTTGGTTGTGTTGAGAGCATTTGCAGCGCATTTCTGTTTTTTAGCGCATTTCTTTATTTGGTTGTGTTGAGAGCATTTGCAGCGCATTTCTGTTTTTTAGCGCATTTCTTTATTTGGTTGTGTTGAGAGCATTTGCAGCGCATTTCTGTTTTTTAGCGCATTTCTTTATTTGGTTGTGTTGAGAGCATTTGCAGCGCATTTCTGTTTTTTAGCGCATTTCTTTATTTGGTTGTGTTGAGAGCATTTGCAGCGCATTTCTGTTTTTTAGCGCATTTCTTTATTTGGTTGTGTTGAGAGCATTTGCAGCGCATTTCTGTTTTTTAGCGCATTTCTTTATTTGGTTGTGTTGAGAGCATTTGCAGCGCATTTCTGTTTTTTAGCGCATTTCTTTATTTGGTTGTGTTGAGAGCATTTGCAGCGCATTTCTGTTTTTTAGCGCATTTCTTTATTTGGTTGTGTTGAGAGCATTTGCAGCGCATTTCTGTTTTTTAGCGCATTTCTTTATTTGGTTGTGTTGAGAGCATTTGCAGCGCATTTCTGTTTTTTAGCGCATTTCTTTATTTGGTTGTGTTGAGAGCATTTGCAGCGCATTTCTGTTTTTTAGCGCATTTCTTTATTTGGTTGTGTTGAGAGCATTTGCAGCGCATTTCTGTTTTTTAGCGCATTTCTTTATTTGGTTGTGTTGAGAGCATTTGCAGCGCATTTCTGTTTTTTAGCGCATTTCTTTATTTGGTTGTGTTGAGAGCATTTGCAGCGCATTTCTGTTTTTTAGCGCATTTCTTTATTTGGTTGTGTTGAGAGCATTTGCAGCGCATTTCTGTTTTTTAGCGCATTTCTTTATTTGGTTGTGTTGAGAGCATTTGCAGCGCATTTCTGTTTTTTAGCGCATTTCTTTATTTGGTTGTGTTGTGAGCATTTGCAGCGCATTTCTGTTTTTTAGCTAGTTTCTTTATTTGTTTGTGTTGTGAGCATTTGCAGCGCGTGTGTTGTCAAATTGATGAAGATGTTTTCTTAATTTGCATGTATTTTTTCATTTGCAGCGCGTTGAGCGATCTCTGCCACCGTACATTTCCCATAAATTAAAGAGAACATAAAGAAATAATGTTTGTTTGATCACTTTTTACAAAACTTTTGTGGTAGCTGGGTTGAATACCAATGCTTGCCATTGACAGAATATGCTTAAATCTGGTGTGTTTCAGGGCGCTGGCGTGTTACTGCGTGATTCCGGGAAGTTCCCGGCGGAGCTGAAGGCCGAGGTTTGCACACCGGGAGGGACCACGATTCACGGGATCCACGCGCTGGAGAAGGGAGGATTTAGAGCGGCTACGATGGGAGCCGTAGAGGCGGCGACCGAAAGAGCCAGAGAACTGGGAAAGAAGTAGAGTGGGAATCGCATTTAGAGACATTATGATACCTGAGGGACAATTAACTTAACACCTTAAAGTCTTACTTTATTCTCCAAGCATATCCAGTAGTCAGTGATTCTGAATGTTGATTACAATGGCCTTGATAACGGATTGAAAGGTGCTTCTTAAAGTACAAATGAATGGAGAATTTCTTGTGTGCTCTAAGGGAACAATATACATAAGAATGTGCTAGATGCATTCACTTTATTTTCTGCACATGAAATGTTTATTTTGTCCACACACATGTAAAGAATGTGAAAAAAATCATATTAAATGTATAATAAATTAATCTCTAAGAAATCCACTTGGTCTTGTGTGCGCTGACTTTTGCTTATAATTTTTTAAAGCCTCATTTAATGGCACTGTGCATACTGCAAGTAATAAAAACATTTTTAAGAAACAACAATGTAAAGAACTACAACATCATTGTTTCACAACAATACAGTAAGTGCTTTGGTGTTCCTTAAACGTTTCAATACAGTGTTTCTCAAGATTCTGATTTGAAGTGTACTAAAATAAAAAAAAGGCTATATGAAGGATATAAAGTTTGCATTTGAGGAATTTATCATAGAATAAGATATGTCTCTCTTACAAAGTATTTAAAGAAAAAACAAAACTGACAAAAGAATTAAAAAAAAAAATGTTTATTTTTATTATATAATGTGTATGTGCGTATATAAAACATAATATCTAAGTATGCTGAATAAAAGTTTGTATATATGGATATAAAAAAATTAATTGGAATAAAAACAGTAACGTCTCAATATACACCATTTTTTGATGACGTCATATACGCAGTCGCGCTGGGAAACTGACGGAATGTACCATGTGGGAAAAAATGTGATGACAAAATATCACTTAAAGCACACTTCTATAGCACGGTTGTGCGTGTATGTCTATATGTATACAAATACGAAACTGACGTAAATACACTTAAGCCGCCTCAGGGTAATGTTTGGTGGTTTTGTGGCGGTTTTGAGGCAGTGATGTCCCCCGCTCTTGAGCGGGAATGGTTCGCGCGGCTCTCGCTAGCTCCTTCTGTTCCACGAGCGCGAGACGAGCAGCAGCGATTCATTCAACTCCAACTAAAGCGCTTAAAGTGAGTATTTGTGAGGGAAAATTAGGTGGTTTACAGCGGCTCATGCTCATTTATGGCTTTTTCTGGGTTTAAATGAATAAATAGTACTGTGCTGTAAATGTACGGGGTGTTTATCGTGCTCAAACGCCGGTTAGACGTCTTTCGTATGTTTATTTATTAATATAAGAATAATCAACACGTGATCGCTACATGACAGAAAGCCCATGCTTTTGTTACAGTCACTGTCATAATGAAAATACGTTTAATTTGTATAAATATCCAGTGTGTTGTTTGATGGGCCTGCCGCCTGCACGTGCAGGAAGTCCAGATTATCATAAATAATGGCGCATTCTCCTGTTTAATCGGATGATTTTGTGGTAAACCACAGATTTATTGATTTTATGATCTCTAGATAACGCCTGTTTCGTTTCTGAATCAACAAAATGAGTGATTAGGCTTAAAAAACACCTTTTTTCTCATAATTGCACATTCAGATCTGCTCAGATTGTCAACATGGTCACTAGAAACTATCATCTAAAAGTGATGATAATAGTGATACTCATAATAGTGAATTATTTTCAGTCACATTAGCCTGATTGGTATATTATTATGTAAGTTAAGCGACCTTAATCATGTGTAATCATGTTAGACTAACAGAAGTAACAGAGAAATACGATTATGCACATGGCACCATGATAATACCATATTTTTTTGGACATATACTATGGTAATCATTCACAACCATAGTATTACTATCAGATACCATCAGTGTACCATGTTTTCACCACGATGCATCTTTGTGAGGGCGTGGATGAGTGAAGTCCTCTCATTCTGTGAGATTCAATATAAACATACTTAATTGCACTTTATGGTTTATTGCTTGCCTTCGTTTGGATGAGAAGAACGTTCAGCTACATACTGTTTGTTTGATCGCTTTTCGTGTTCGCTGAAGGTGAGTTTGGACAAAGTTTGGACATGTTTGTTATTTGACACATCATGGATTTTTCTGTGTGTTTTGTCCATCCTTTCTTTTCTCCATCGCACTTTCAATTTGTGCTTTTTTATTCGTTTTCTGCTCAACGTCATTGTAAAGTGCAATGTATTTCATGTTTAAATCTAATGCACGTAAACTACGCCAGAGCGCGTACACACCTCACGCACCGGATGCCGTGCACGCGCCCAAAGCAGTTGGACATAGTGCTGTATTAGAGGTAAAAAAAATTATATAAATACTGTTCGGTTTCTGGCACAAACCGATCGTTTCGTGTCTTAAGACATCAATGTGTCGTCACGAGCCGCAGGGTTTAATTTGGATTTGTCTGTGCATGTTTTTTTTACTCTCATAGATGTTGTTACCATTGCCATGCATTATACGACTGATAGACTGCAACGGCTGGAGTTAAAAATCATCATTTGTGTTCTACTGAAGAAACAAAGTCACCTACATCTTGGATGCCCTGGGGGTAAGCAGATAAACATCACATTTTCATTTTTGGGTGAACTACCCCTTTTAAGCTGAAGTGTGTAATTTTTACTGAACCGAGGGTACGTTTGCATGACAACGATGTAGTAAAAACGGGAAAGTTGTTCCTTTGCGTTTTTGAAAGGTTTTGCGTACAGACGACAACATTGTCAAAATATCCCGCCCTGTTCCCATGGGTCCACCTAAATGACTAAAAACACTGTATTACGTATACCAGGCCAGTAGTTGGCGATGTCACTTTGTAAAGAAATGCATTACATTGCTGTTTTCACAAATTTGCGTTTACATAGAGACAAAAACGATATAGTTTTCGAAAGCTCCCACATTGAAACTCATTTTCAAAGGTTTGTGATTTCAGCTCCACAAAACGCCGTTGCCATGTAAATGAACAGCTAAAATGCATAAAAATGAAATCGAATAATGATTGTCTCCGAACAGGTTTCTCAATATAGAAACTTATTTCCACCAATTCAGACTAATTAGAATCGCAATTGCAAGTTATTAATTGTGAGATGTCAAATTAATTCTGAAGAAAAAATTCAAAATTGTGTGTTCTAAATTTGTAATTGCGCGTTTATAACTATTACATTTTTTATATTTTTATTAGGTGACGGAAATAAGCTTCCATACAAATACCCGTTTTATTAAGCTATTTCGATTTTTGTTAAATGCTAACCGTATTCTTTGGACTATGAATATAGTATGCTAAAAAGCTCTCTGAAAAGTATCTAAATTCATCGTCTACATCCATAAAAGCAGCAATATTTTTTTTCTCTTTTTTTTTGTAATGAATCCGTCTTCAGTACCGCATTTTAAAATATATTTTGTTTTTCAGCGTCTTGCACCACTTTTAAGTTGCCGCGTCAATGTAAATCGTTAACTTGTTTAACTTGATGTAATTTGCGCTTAAATAATTGATTTGTATATCGCAACATACAGTTTACACACTTCATGTTTTATGTTATCCTACTGCTGTGTGACTAATTCACCAGTTCCCTGTCACTCTCTCTCTTTCCTCTTTTTTGTTTATTTATCAATCCTCTTCTACCTCTGTATTTCTGGACACAAGAAAATGCGCAACAGAAGCCATAGGAGTTCTTCTTCGAATCAGTCCAGTTCTTCTGAACGGCAGCCGGACCAAACCAACGCAGGCGCCGAGGGATGTTTGTCCAGTACGACGCTGGAGGGTTTGAGATCGGAGTGTTCGACGGTGTGGTTCGACCGCATCGCGTACGAAAGTGCGGAGAGTCTTTACTACGTACGACTATTGCAGCAGCAAAACGGCACGACCGCTCCTGCGAGTTCTTCCGCAAGAAACAAGCAAGAAACCTGCCAGCATGGAGAGCAAGAGGCTTGTCATCATGTCGTTAATGCTGTGTGGGTGAATAAACCCAACTTTGACCAAGCCGAGAGCAAGTTTGTGGGCCGCGTTCCCAAGCAACCGAGATCTCTCCAACTGCAGGCCGCTAGCTGCGACGAGGGCTACCAATCGCAAACCCCGACTCCGCCCACACCGGCTTCCAGACCAATCAACGGCCTCCCTTCCTTGCCACCGCCTCCAATGTGGGTGTGGCTACAGAAACCTCTTTTTGATAAAGCCGAGGCGACTTTCTATCAGAACCTGTACGGCCAAAACTCGCCACCGAGAAACCCGGAAACCAGCGGCGACGAGTCCAACTCCAAACGTCGAAATGACGCGCAAAAAAAGCCTGTGGTTTGCAATCGGCGGGAAACCGACGACATCACCACCAATCAGGGAGCGCGCTGCTATTTCCTGCATGCCGACAGCGAGAGGGTGTGGCTAGATCGCGGTCGCTATGCGGAGGCGGAGACTCGTTTCTATGAAGAAGCTGCGGCGAGATCCGTCAAAACGTCTATAAACCATTCTAGCCAGAAGCAGAAGAAGTATGACTCAATACTCGAGAAAATACACTTTCCTCACACACTGTAGATAATTAGTTAGTTCGTTCACCGCCAAATTAAAGTTCTGTCATTTTAACAGTCCTGTTGCTCCAAACCTGCATTACTTCTGTTTCTTGAACCTCCTACGAATCGCAGTCTTTAGTGTTTTATGGCAAAAAGTGAGTCACACAGGTTTGGAATGGCATAAAGGTCAGTAAATGACAGAATTGGTGAATTATCACTTTAAAACGACATTTTACTCTCAGGGAACCATCAGTCTCATCCATTGCATTCACATGCAAATTTTATATTTCTTTTGTGCACAATCTTCATGTCATCGCACATTTTTCTCATGCCATTCTTTTTTGTTTTTCTTTGGTCTCTTTTTTTGGTTTATTCTTGCTGTGTTTGTCCGTTGTGTTGGCTTGGAAGAGTCATTTGTCTGAATTCAGTTTTGTATCATTTGGGTTTCTTCATTTGTTTGGTTGATGTCATTTTTGTTGTTGTTATTTTTGCATGGTTGCATTAACCTATGTATATTATTTGTAGTATTATATCCATGCACCAGTTTTGGGGAGTAACTTATTTTAGTATCACTGAGATACTATTATAGTTTTTATTAATTTTGAACTTATTTATTTTCATTTTCAAATGTTAAACCACTGAACTGTAATTTTTATGTATTTTTCATTTTCATTTTAGTCATTTTGTTGTTTTTTTTATTTTTTTTTGTCTTTAGAATTGGTTTTATTTTTCTTTATATCCATGTCATTTTATCCATTTTTTTTATTCATTGCTTAGTTTTTGTTATTTTAGTACATCAAGTTTAACTAAAATAAAATAAGCAACGTTGTTTGTTTTAGAAGGTATCTGAAAGAAAATTAATGATTAAAATTAATAATGCAAATAAAAATTAATGTTGGTAAATAAAAATATTAAAAGAAGTGTTATTTCACTGTAAAATAAGAAAATAATATAATTAATTTTACAGTAAAATTATTTTAAATAGGATTATTTTTATTTTATATTTTTCAAATTATAAACCATTATTTTGGCAGAAAAAAAATAATTATTTTTTTCATTTGAAATTAATTAGTAATTAAAAAATAATATTTTTTTGTTTTGCATGTCCATATAGTTTTTATTAATCTTTATTTATTATTTAATTTTGTTATTTTAGTACACCAAGTTAAACTTAATGAAAATGAGAAATGTTGCCTTGGCAAATAACTAAAATAAAACAAGTACATTTTGTTTCAACTAACAATTTTTTGTTTTAGCTTTATTTAAATATGATAATAACCATTAGCATATAAATTCACTCCCCAATACTGCTGTGCACCGTAGTTTGCAACATCCTTTCATTTTCATCAAGGAACGAACAGATAGCAGATCACATCCAGTCCTTTATCAGTTCACTGAAGATGTTTGTTTAGTGAGCTTGTTACAGGTCTTGTGTGTGTGTTACAGGATGACTGCAGCAGAGTGTTTGGCGCAGGAGAGGATCTGGTTCGATAAGCCACATTACGATGAAGCGGAACGGCAATTTTATGAGCGGATGAATGGACCCACGCAGCCCAAACAAGTATTAAATATATCACTTGCACCATTGCATCAGTATTACAGCATGTGTGCTAATACTACTGTTCCACGTGGTATTTTTGAAAGATCGGTAGGTTAATTCTAAATGTACATTTACTTAATTTCATGCATTTGGTAGATGCTTTTATCCAAAGAGACTTACGTTTGCATTCAGTGTATACATTCCCACAGTCCCAGGGAACTGAACCCATGCCCTCACC